GATAGTGGTCACCGGCTCAATTGGGCATCCAGGTGTATTGGGCCCTTGGACGTTTGACCCCGTTCAAAGGGTTTATGATCCCAAGAACTGTACGCCGGCCCCCAATGGACTGCGGACTCTGAGATCCGTCCTGTTGTCTTGCAGGTCTGGCTTTCTAGCCAAAGTCTTTGGGTGGGGACCCCGAGGTTATCCCCCTTCCTCGGCCAGGGCAACCGGAAATTAACATGCTCACACAACCTATGAATACATTAGCGAGTCATCTGTAATCGGTTGTGTTGAAATAAATAAATAATAATAATTAGTTCAATAACTAATGTGCTAGTAAACGTCCGTCAAATAATAATACCCGGCATCGCAATTCATCTGAAGCGTTACCTACTGATTTCGTTGGGTGATAACAGTAACAGTATCATTAAGTTTTCTTCCTCCCTCCTGAACCACTGACTTGGATTTTGGTTACCATAATTTGTTTTCACTCATCTTAAATAGTTTATCCAAGTTTGGCAACATTCCTCTTTCAGTATGATAAGGCCGCAGGCGATTAGCCTTTGAGAGACAGAAGGGGACAGAGGAAGGAAAGGGGATGGTAGAAGAAACTTGACGGATTAGCCACAGCATATTTATTCACATTTGTTGACCTTATTTTATTCACTTTCTTAAAACTGGTTTGTTAAAAACATGCTGTTACGCCACCGCAGTGAGATGATCATTGATCATTATAGGGTTATGGCCTAAATGAGCGTTAAACAGCCGAAGACGGGGAGATACAAAGCAAACCATTTTATAGTCTAGGTGAACAATCAATTTTTGGCCTACAATTCAGCCAAATAGGGAATATTCGAGGCGACTTTTATTGGCCTACGGGGCAAATCATTGAATTTCGGTGTGTGTTGATTCACCTAATGTTTGGAAATATAACATGGTAAATATATGCCGTGTGTTCGAAAATGATTGCCTATTTCTTAGCTGATTTATTTTGAATCAAGAGACGGCTAACTACCTATCAGTGGTTTGAGATCGATTGGTAAGGTGATTTTTAATGATGAAGGATGTAAAGTAAAACAAAGCTAGGTTGACTCAATTCATTATTAGTTTATTAAACCAAAAATTTGAACTATTTTAAATATCCTTTATTATTTCACAGTCATGGATAAGCAAAAATCGCATACATATAAACGATCGAAAGTTTTGAAAAAAGTGAAAACGATAGTAGAATAAAGTAAACCTTCGACAAATACTACCGGAATACGATGATCCCTTGAAATGGATACACTGCTCCTATCGTAAAACATATGCTGAATGCATTTGTACTTTGAAGTCCCATGCTGTCGGTGTAACCGCAAGGATCACTGCTAATTATTGAATAGCATTACAAATTATGAAATCAACAGATAAATGACTTATTCTTTCCAGGGTTGTTCAAGAAAGAGACATTTGTTATTTCTTTCATGAAGGACAATAAGCACCGCAATCCTCTACACTATCCACATCGACCGATCGTGTGGATGCTCATTGCACAAACAACCAACCAAGACCACTAAACACTATCATTTATCGAGAGAAATCAATGCACCAGTCACTGGTTAAATACGTAACCTGAGAGCTGGATCACAACACAACCGACTGGCTTTCGTTTTCGATTTTTAACCAGCAAAAGTCATAAAATATTTGAGTAACCAATCAACTAAGAAGCCAAATAATCTGACATGGCGATTGGTCTGGTTATTCTGATTGATCGATAATCTAAACGAATTAAACATTTTTAATTACCCCAAAAACTGAACAGTTAAACGAAATGGAGAGCAATCAGAAGAAACTAAAAACAACGTTAGAGACTATTTATATGAGTCAGGTTTAGGCCATAAATTTACTGTTTCATTCATTCATTCATTCAGGCAGTCAGTCAGTCAGTCAGTCAGTCAGTCAGTCAGTCAGTTAGTTAGTTCAGGGTTAACCTTATATCAGTCATTCTCCCGAAAAGGTTTACATCCCTGAGTAATTCAAAGCACTATTCAATGAGCTAACTAATAATTCGTACCATCACAGAGCTCACTACTGAAAGACTACCGAATACCTATTGGTGAGCGAAGAAACACATTTTAACAGTTGTTCCCACTGACTGCCAACAGTCATCCAATGCACCTATTTCTTGCTTTCCATGCTGTGAAAATATGCACTACATCTAGTCTTAAACAAAATAAAAGCACAATACATGCGTTTATTAAAAACGTTTTGTAATATTTGAAAAGATTCAACATCTGTTCAGATCGTCACTGGTCCGATAGTAAAATAGTGAAATCAATGTTCGTTTTGGTATGAATATGTATGTATATAGGGAAATCAGAATGGCATTCACAGACATCTATTCGCCATCGGTTGGCCACTGTTTCGACATTAGTCTTGGGTCTGGAAGGGACCGTCGGTACTTGTGCTGCTTCGCGGGGTCCGTGGCATAATTCGTCGGTCGTATCTGTACATCCATGCACATCATGGAACGCTCGTCTTGAGTGCAACCAATACCAAGGCTGGATAGACCGTCTTTCCGTAAAACTGCTTCATTTAGCTCTAACCGACCGGGTATATCTTGTTCCGGATAGAGGTAAGTTTGTGTGTTTGATCTAACTGAACTGGATTCTTGAGTTTCGTTGGCTGAATCACGTTTTCCATCGCTTAAATTGGGCGAAGAGTCTCCGCAGATCTCGTCCATCCACACCACAGTTCTTTGGGGTCTGAAAACCAATTGCAAGAAAAGCAAATGTTCAATTGCTATTACGATAAAGCAGTCGAAGGCAATAGTAACTAGTTTTAAGTAAATCCTTTTCGCGAATTATTTTTTTTATGTGAGGGCGACTGTTGCGTTTGTTGTGATTGAATGATTCATGTTGTTATTATGGGGATGCGCTCCGACACCTGAGTTCCGAGGTGAAAACATTGAAGGCATTATTCAGATTCACTGTTATCCAGTTAAATACGACATGTATCTTATTGGGGCTTTATGTAATGCACGACTCTTAATTCCAGAGATTAGATTGTCGTTTACCATGGCCAGGAACTGACCAATTGTGAATATAGGCTTTATTCCATCTGTTCACCAAATCAATAAGGATAATGACGCAATTGGTTGATGAAACAGAAGCTGAACATGTTCGATCATTGTTTCTAGTAAATTCCATCGATCAGTTCTCAAATTCATTGAAGGACATACGAATGATAGAATAAATATAACTAGCTTCACGTAACTTCACGTTAATAGCTTTTAAGACTAATTACGTACTAAATTAGGGTGTCCATGACCAAAAAAGATGAAGAGCAGAAAAAATTTGACCGGATAAATTGAAACTTGTTTCAGTTATGGATAGAACCTATCCAGGGTTGGTTTTCAACAGTACTTGTGGTCATCCAGGCAAACGGCCCTGTTTTCATACAGATTCACACAACGTATTATTTTCAGTCACAATAAATGTGTCACACACCCCTTCAGACACGCAGGCATGCAAATCACTGTACAACTGTTTCATCGAAATAAATCACGCGAAGTTCATATTCATCAACTTCGCTGGTATTTGAACTCCGAGAGATAAGGGATTGCTAGTCCGATTCACTAACTATAGCGAGCGAAATGCTTTTAGTCCCGTCCAATTTTTCTAACATTTTTCATTAGGAAAACTACCCGGACTAATCAAGTTTATCAGGGTTATAGCAAATGAACTTAATTGTTATCCTCGAGAACTGATTTATTCAGGAGCATTTTTCTTGGGGATGAGAAATGTTGTGAAATGTCATTCTGAAATCGGTCTTTAGATCTCTATTCTCTAGCTGGTCACACTAGCTGCACGAGTCAAACCTGACACATGTGTTTGATGACGTAATTGTTATACATCAATCAACGCATGACGGGTGCACAAGTCCTGTAGTGGGCGTGATTTACTAAAACCGTCCTTTGACGAAACAAACAATGGACAGGACAGCGATCTGAGCTGATGAAAGTAAAACTACTAGCAAAAAGACCTGGTCGCGGTCATTATCAAGGTTTCTGGGAAAATTTCATCATTTCATTCAAACATTGTTACTCGACTCAAAGTGGTTTGAATGTGTGGTGTGTGTACAGCAAAATGTTTAAATCTGTGTCATATACAATTCATGAACATCAGGACAGTAATAGTACTTAGTACACAAATCTCCTGGAATGACCGGCGGTGAGAAAACCTGCAAACTTTACGATCCTTCTACTAGTGGCATAACGTAGAGCCTAAACGTCTTCAGCTACTGAGCCGACTACTGGATACTGCCCGACGTGTGTCTTTTTTGAGTATGGAAAGACTGCAGGCAAATCTCAAAAGTAATAATGTAGCTAACGCCACTGCTAAAACCTAGAATGAGTTTTCCCCCGCACAATTCTATGGATTCGACTGAGACCATAGTATGCTACCGAGGTAGAATCTCCATGAGTACGGCCCGTCCCACTAAAAGGCGGTTTCTGCACTGGAAAATGTAGACAATAGGCTGTCGAGCCCACATACCAGCTATGATTCTGATATACAAGTTTTGGAATCCGACAACTAGAAGTATTTATGCATGCGGAAGGATAATTCATGCTACGTAAAGGCACTCATCCTTCATGGTTGGAGCAATTTTGAAATTTATACAACCAAGAAGACTATTCTAATGATCGGTGTACACTGATTTAGTAATAAATAATACAGAACGGCGTGATTTCTGAGTGTGAGGTTAACTTTGTAATATATCCTATAACAGATTTTCTAGGATGCATTAGTATACAAGCGTTATCATTGAAACCAATTTGCTTCTCATAGAGAATAACATGTTTTCTCGACAGTACTACATCTGGTTGCATGGGTTACTGGGGATGTGCAGAAAAATGTCTGGTTGGGTGTGAAAATCGTAGTAGTAGTAGCAATACGCACGGAACTCGGAACACAAACCACGCAATAGGAATCGCAGCACACGAAGCAAGGATCAGCTATCACGAACTGGATTACGGAAGCACTGAACCTCAATGGCACGAGCTTGCAGTATCCCACGTGAATGACACGCGAGAAAAGGACCTCAAGAATGGTAGTTCGTAGTTTGTTTATTGAAAGAAATGAGGGCGAATAAATAGTATGTACAAAAGAAGATCCTTGGTTACCTAGGCTTCCACCAATCGTATTGCAATATTGCTTGCATAATTCTGCTTTTGTCTGCACTGTCTCGGATTGGTTGGCAAAACCTGCCTGTGGCGTGTAATCAGAAGCCGTACACATGTCTTTGACGTTACTTTTCAAATTTGATTGATCGCAGGTGTCCAGAAACTTTAGTGCGCCACGCCATGGTAGGCATCTTCACGTAGGTCTTAATCACCACATTGGATCAATAGCATTTTACACACTGGCCCTGCACTATATGTTGCGGATCAATATCACAAAATGAACCACCCGTTCGTGCTACTGCTCGGTGTGCCGGATCTTAACTGAGTTCATCAAGATTCTTTGACGAATCACCGTTTGTCAGTCAGGTCGAATATATGCTTTTAAGTTGATTTTCCTACGGAAAACAATTAAGAGGCTTCCAGAATTCTCTTAAACAGCATAGCTATGAATGATATTGTACGCCGTGTTTTGGACAGCATCGTGAAATGTCTCATGAAGAAGCATTTCCACAGACTAAAGGAGACGTTTTCGAATACAACAGGTGAACCAGTTCAAATGTGTATTCGGGAACATCAAGGAACAAATTAATTGGCAATTTGTAATCCTTTTTTATCAGAGTGGCAGAAAACAGTCCGTCGTTCTATTTACATATCCTCCAGGTTTATGCAGATTTTATTTTCTATTTTTATGATAATTGGCTTCTTGAAGGTCAATCAGGCAACTATATCATTGTTACGCTTTCGTATTCAACAAATGGGGACTTTGAAGTATATCGTTTCTAAATGATTTTGCCTATTCGGGTTTAACAGTCAAAATGTTTTGATCGCACGTATTCAAGGAACTACTGATCCAGATAGTGTCCGTCCTTGAAGCAAATGTCCAAATTTTGTCATTGTTTTGTGCTGATCTGGTTTTTGCATTAGTTGTCTTTAGCTAGGGAGCAGTTGTCATTAAGAGACTACCGGAGTACAGCCAAAAACGGTTGGTGCTGCCAAAGTTTAAGAAGAGTGTTATCCGTGCAAGTTACACGCTAACCAGTTAGTTGACTGAATGCACTTCGTCATATATATACATATATATATATATATACATATTGTTGGTTGATGAGATAAGGATCACATTTGGTGATGAGCCACGATGCTGACTTTGCAGTTTTCTGATGACGTCCTCATAGCTTTGGTATTGATTATATCGTTGCTTGTGCAATTAGAACACCGGCTTAGCCGCACTGGTATTCCTATTTCATGTTAGTCTGAGGTGATCAGATTTTTCCGGGGGGGGGGGGG